TTGGATTGGAACATTGATGGTAAGTTGTCCTCAATCACATTGGACAACTGTACCACCAATGATTCCATGATTTTCCACATGAGAAATAAGCTTCTGAGCAGTGACTTGTTGCTTGATGGTAAATTGGTTCATATGAGGTGTTCTGCTCATATTCTGAATTTGATTGTAAGGGATGGTTTGGATGCAATCAAGGATGCTATAAATTTGATTAGGGAGAGTGTAGTTTACTGGAATTCTACACCTAAGAGGGTTCAAACCTTCTTCGAAGTTGCTAAGCAACTTAAGCTGTCTGTTGAGAGAAAATTAGTCCTTGATTGTCCAACCAGGTGGAATTCCACCTATCATATGCTCTCTGTTGCTATTCCCTACAAGGATGTGTTCTTTCGTTTGAGTTTGAGAGACAATCATTACACATCAGTTCCTTCTAGTGAACAATGGGAATTTGCTTCTACTGTGATTGGGAAGCTGGAAATCTTTTCTGAGATTACTGAGTTGTTCTCTGGTTCCAAATATCCCACTGCCAATCTGTTTTTCCCCAAGATTTGTGATCTCAGACTTAAACTGAATGAGTGGGGTGTTGATCCCAATCCGGTGATATTTGGAATGGCTAGTCAAATGTCCATGAAGTTTGATAAGTATTGGGATGATATACATCTTGTGCTTGCTGTATCGGTTGTTTTGGATCCTAGATATAAACTCCATGTGATTGAATACTATGTTGGAAAGTTTGGGAATACAGAAACTGATTTGGTTGCTGAGAATATCAAGAAAATGATATGTGGTTTGATTCGTGATTATCAAACCAAAGCTGAGAACAAATCTGGTTCTGAAACTGGAACTTCTTCTGGTTCTGGATCTGCCTCTGCCACTGAACTTGACTTTGAACTCTTTGTAAGTCAAAGGAAAAAGAGTAAGACTTCCTTGATTACAACTGAGTTGGATATGTACCTTGCTGAGGATATCATTCCTCGCACAGCAGAGTTTGATCTGCTCTTGTGGTGGAAATTGAATGGTTTGAAGTATCCCACCTTGCAATCAATTGCAAGGGACTTTCTGGCAATCCCTATTACTTCTGTGCCTTCTGAGAGTGCATTTAGTTCTGGTGGGAGGTTGTTAGACCCTCACCGGAGCAGGCTGCATTATTCGACTGTTGAGGCAATGATGTGTACTAGGAGTTGGATAATGGAGGACATGCAACGAGGTAACATGCAACTAAAACTCTCAAATTTATTGTTTTACGTTTAACAACAGTATGTACTCATTGAACTGGTTCTCTGCAGATTCGGAGGCTGCTGTGGAGGCATTGGATGGACTCTTCTCAACAATGACAGTCGAAGATACAACTGTGGAAGAGGCAGAACCTGGTGGTAAGATCAATAGATCATTTTTCCATAATTCCATTGTGTGTTCTAATTTTTATTAGTTCATTTAGGAATACTTACCTTTGCATTGTTTCCCTTTTTCAGATCCAGAACTCACCTTAATGAGATCACCATTTGCCCATGAAGACTAATTGGTAATCTGCTGTGGGACCAAGGTAAAGGTCTTTATTTGTTGTCGTTGATGCAGACGTGTTATTCATTGGACATTTACTAACTGATTCATTCCTCATGTATGTTCTTTACACAGTTTCAATTGATGTCTGCTAGACTGCTGGTTTACATCGATTGGAATGAGGGTCAGGGGTGGTCGGGTGGATGATTGCAGATTGCTCAATGATTCGATGTTGCTGGAACCTAGATGGAATGTTGCTGCGCTGCTGTTGCTTGGAACACATTTCATTATACAGTTTTTTCTTAAGAATTAGACATTTAGAATTCAGAGTCTGCTGATACTTGTTGGTTGTTTGGTTGATTTGATAATTTCTATCAGTGATACACGAAATAAATGTTTGTTTTTGGTTGTTGTTGCTGAGCTGCTGGTGTAGTGGCAACAATTGTAGCTTGGCAAGCTTTTTGTTTTTCATTTCAAGTCCTTTTGAGTCTTTGACAGATCAGTTATTAATAATACAGTGAGAAGAGTCCAGTTTTCCAGAATATTTTCAATTTTTTGTTCATGTTTTAGCGGGTACAATGGACCCGCGGGCACCCGAATACCCATTGGGTTTTGGGATGGTTGCCCAACATGGCCCGAATGTCCGTTTGGGCCGGGGACGGGGATACCCGAGGCCCATGGTGGGCGGGCAACGGATCCGGGGTACCCGGCCCCGATCCGCCCCGTTGCCATCTCTACCCCAAGGTGAGATGCTAGGTCGAATAAACCCCTTGTCTAGCAATTCTTGCAATTGTTCTTTAAGCTCCTTCACCTCAATTGTGTGCCATTCTATATGGTGTCATTGAATTTGGTGTTGTGCCAGGTACCAATTCAATATCAAACTCTACTTCCTTTTCTGGTGGAAGGCCGGGAAGTTCTTCGGGGAATACATCAGGAAACTCCCAAACTGTAACACCCTACCCTATACGTTTTGCCTAATCATATTGTTCATACAATTGCAGCAGAATTAATCTCGGGTGTTACATTAATTATCAAAATTTACCCCAATAAAATTTCGACATGAATTACTCGCGTAATGGGCTAACAGTTCTTGCAACTTATCCTGTAAAATAACTCATCACAAACATATATACTCACAACCATATGCATTGGCTTTCATAGCCATAGGCACAACTTCATACTCCACAACTGCATACCTTACTAATACATACCATAATCGTCACAACTTACACAGTTACACAACATATACACATATAAACTTTCCACACCTGTGGATATCTCACGCTACATCAGAAGCTAGTAAGAACATGAAAAACGTTCTCAATTTTTTTTTACAAAAAGGTGTGGATCACTGGCCAAAATCCCGAGTAGTCGTCCAAGCACAGAATAGTTGAAGACCATACCTCATCCTGGTTTCAAATCTAGCTCCACTCCCACCTAACACTTATCTACTGCTGCTGCTGATGATCTGCTTACACATAACATAAGCAAAGAAGAAGAATAAAAGAGGGTTACCTCATAGCTGAGTGAGATAATCATAGCATCGTGAGTTCATAACAGAGTATACCCCTATCACACATCTAACAATCAAGCCAAAACACTAGGATCGGACCTCAGCCATCCCCATATCCCAATAGGCAAAAGACTCAACCACCTTGACTTATGCATATGCATCTTATCATGTTTTAATCATAGGCCCCTGGCTACTCCCATGCTAATTACTCTCCCAGGAATACGGACCAAACATCTCGTGGATGTGGTCATATCGGACTCAACACCACTTTGGGTGTGGTCATATCTCATGAGGAATCAACGACCAACAACACATCCGGGGTGTGACATAACATATCATAACAGAGTAATAGCATGGGGAGCCCTAATTACTATATAATTGACCATGAGACCAAATCACTCTTATTTGGTAATCTTATACATGATCCATATCTCATCTTGCTTAATCATAATTCGTTACTTGCACATGTACTTGACCTGGCCATACTTGGCTCAACATAGGTAAAACATGAGTCGTATAATGGCACTTCCTCGGGATAAACCCTCGTGCAAGTCACCCTCCTTAAACGTCATAATATCACCAGGGAATATATATTTTCCCACATGTGCATTCAAATACAACAATCATGAAAAATCATACCCAATCACCTTTTCGAACCATCATAAGGATATATCAACAGTCAAGCCCACAATTTGCAACAAATACGAAACCAACAACATAAACAAGGTCCATCTCGATTAGGGCAAGTCAATAATATCATACAATAGACCATGATTCATCATATAACACAAAAGTTCATACACCCTTAATCATGCCATTCTAGTTCACCTAGCTCAATTCTAAGCATCAATATAATTATCGTGATACGACAAACCCGGTATGCCGTGCTAATCCCTCAACAGTTTTGGTCGTTCAAACACCGGTTTAACCTTTCCGTACTAAAACGTCAATTTCAAGAACGAACCCCGAATTAAAATCCGAGACCGTCCTAATATCCCCTACAGTATCCCCGTCAATATTAGTTCTAGGCTCCGGGTCAAATTCTCGATAAAAACACATCAAACCCTGGCCGGAGCTAAATTCGGCGATTTGGACCCCGACCTAAATAATTGCCAAAATTCAGGGATTAGAACTAGAGGATTGATTACCTCGCTGCAGGAAGCTCGTATATAAAATTTGGGCTCAATCCGGCTTCCGGATACTCCGAAACCCTAATTTGGCTTATCGGGAATTCAAGAAATTCCTGAACCAAAAACTCGTTTTAAAGCTCTAAATCGATAAATCACGATGTATAGATGAATTAGGCATTACTTACGGGATTTTTGGATCACTTATGCTCAAGAATTGAGCTCTGAGATTTTACCCTCGCGATGCCCTGTGCGCCTCTTCTCGGTTTGTTTTCTCTCGGTCCGAATAATGGAAGATGATGGTGGAGATAATGGACAGGGGGAATTAAAAAAAAAAAATATATATATATATATATATAATTAATACGTATACTTATCCGATCGATTGGTAATCCGATTTCCGCCGAAATATTATCAAAACGCTCGATTTTAAAGCGCGAACTTTCTAGCGATCGAAATATGGGTTTAGCCGGAACGAGATGTTACAGTAAACCAATTACTTTCAACCAATTCCAATTAATGTTAGGCTCTACCCCATCAACATCTAGATTATAATGCCTCAACAAATAAGCTTTACTAATACCATCATCATTCACCAGGAAAAGAGCAGAATCCATCAACACATCAGTTTAAGAGGAAAAAGTTCATTTACCTCGGCCTCTAAGTGAGGCTCATTGACTGGAGAAAACTCGAGCTCCTCGACCTCTGTCATTACTTCGTCGATCTGATTCGGATTCACCCAGACAGACTTAATTGGAAGCAAGGTAATCTCATCCAGCCTATACCCCAGCGGGTCAGTGGACAGTTCAGAGCTATAGACATCATTTCCTTGGTGACGCGGGAAAGGGCATACCCTTTCACCGTGTCCAATTCGTCCACATTTATAGCAGAACAGGAGTAGTCTCTCATACCTCAGCACCACCCTAAATTCTCCCAGTCTTGGGTTGCTAGCCGTCAGATGTGATCGAAGTGGCAGCTCAATGTTAATTCGGACTCGTGATTTGATGAAGTAGCCCGAGTCACCACGCGTTCCATAGAGCTAGTATCAATTTCAGCACCCAGCTTGGCCACCAGTCTGGGCCTAGCTTAACAGTACATCACAGAGGGGGAATCTCCCACATCTGCACCTAGAATGGCACCCACGCCAGCCTATGGAACAATTCTTCAGTAACCGGCTCCCATTCCATGAGCATGAGGACATGATCTTTGATAATCCATGGAGCTTTCTGCAGGACCCGATCCCTGTAAGCTTCATCATTGAATAGGAATTGAAGCAGCCCCATGTCCGCTTCTAAGACTGCCACTGGCGACCTGCATCGCCATAGGTTATTGACTATACGTTGTAGCAGCGCCACTGGCATGTTGTCCATAAATAGCCTTCCAATCAAGCTCAGCCTTGTGCAAGCCATACTTTCTTCCACATCCTCATCGTCAAACACCAGGACCTGGTCGTTGTCCTTGGAGGAACCCATTGTCTTAGCCTGAGATTTGTGACACATAGAAACAAGCAGGCGAACCTACAAAATCACACAAGTTAAACACCCAAATTTAACCAAGAGACCCATTTCCATGTGGTTCACGAATAGTGATAGAGCAAGAGAGCCGGACGCTGAGAAGAAGAGTTTTTCACATATTTCCAATCCATTATCGGATCTACAGTCGGCAGGCGATAAACACTGTTGCCGAAATTTTCTAGATCGACCTCCTGAGAGAGGATAATCACCACCCCAAATCCGGGTTTCCACACTTTAACTCCCTCAAAGAAGATTTTCAACCCGAGATTGGGCGATCTTTGGATAATCCCTACAGCTGCGATTTCTTCGCGATAAGCCATAATTTCACTTAATTTGAATTCACCTCCATGAATGAGGATAATCGATGCCCCAAAACAGGGAAACCACATGTAAGCTCCATAAACGGAGATAATCGGCCCGAATTTGGGCAATTTTGATGATTTTAACTTCGATTCCCACCGCTAACACTCTTCGGCGAGAGGGGATTTAGGGTTTTCCGCCGCCTGACGAGAGCGTCCAGGAAGCTTTTTTTGTTTGTTTCTTTTTCATTTTGAAGCTTACACTCTATGACTACACATGTGACTATGTGAGCCTCACTGGAGCACAGTCCTCTTCAATTCGTCTCATAATCCAAATCCCAGAGCCGCTCATACTTCTTCCTTTCTTCGTATCACCTCCACAAAGATTACCAGCCAACAACGACCCACAAGGGATGTATAGTCCCACTATATTTCCCATGTTTTTGTTTGTTATTGCAGTCGGAATTCATGTAGTCGTTTGGAAGTTGGGAGTCTATGAATATGTGTATTCTTACTATGTATGTATTCTAAGTGTAGTGATTGTAAGAAATAGATGATTGTAAGAATATGTTGTTTGTTAGTTGTGATTCTCACTTTTAAAGAATAGGTTTAATACACTTGTATATCCAAAAGTATCACGGTTGTGCCAATAATATCCAAAAATCCGGAAATACCACTTATATCCATGTTTTAAAGTTGTCCTTTGCCAAAATCTATCCACTTTCGTTAAATACTTTGACGGTGTTAATAACTCCGTCAACATAGCTGACGGCAAGCTGATTGTACGCGAACTATGCAGACACGTAAGCGCCAACTACGCCAAAAGTGACACGTAAGAATGAATTAAAAAAAATAATTATTTAAAAAAAACTCAATCCCACATTTTCCAACTGACGACGAACAACGAGGACGTTCAGTCCCCCTTTCTCCTTTCGTTTTTAGGGTTCGCACCCTGGCGGCGACAAAATCTCCTCCTGCCGACTGAGCCTCCTCCAGGCGATTTAAGATCCTCCCGCCGACTGTACATACTCCCTGGGATTGAAGATCCTCCCACCGAGTGAAGATTTCGGATTCGTGGATTCTGGCGATTTGGCGACTCCTGCGATTCTGGCGGATTTGGAGATTGGCGAACGACGACCCAGATTCACGACAAAAGCGATTTGCAGACCTAACTTTCCATTTGTCGTAGGTGATTAACTTATTTGTTGATTATCGTCTCTGCATTTGAATCCCCCTTTTCTGTGCGATTAGGGTTTCTTCGAATTCTCTCCTCGCGTTTCCAGGGTTCGTCGTCGCGATTAGGGTTTCCAGCGGAAAGGAAGGATGGAAGGAGCCAGCCTAAGCTCGTCGCAAGTTGTTTAAGCCACCGAAATCGGTGTTGGTCTTCATCGAGGAAGGTTGGCGAGAAGGGTAGATCGACGAAGGATGAAGGAAAATCAGGGGATACGACGGATTAGGGGGGGGGGGGGGTTGCTGCCTTCGCCCTTCTCCGTCGCCTTCGTCTTCCTCCGTCTTCCTCCGTCGCCTTCGTCAAAATCCGTCTCCTTCATCGCCTTCGTCGCCCTCCGCAGGTGAAGGGTTAGGGATTCGTCGATGCAAAAAATCAGAAGGGTAGAAAGTTAGGTCGAGTCGAGGGTGAGGTCAGATGGGGGCAATTGAATTTTTTTTTGTTTAGTTTTTTAAATAAAATTAATTAGCAATACACGTGGATAAGTAAAGAGGAATTGGGAAATAAGCTTTGGCCACGTAAGCACCACTGTTTGTCCAGTCAGACTTAACGTTAACACCGTCAAAGAATGTGACGGAGTTGGATATAAGTGGTATTTCCGGATTTTTGGATATTATTGGCACAACCGTGATACTTTTGGATATACAAGTGTATTAAACCTAAAGAATATAAGGATTCTCACTTTAATGACCAAAAAAACTTATATAACCTTGAAGTTCTCTTTGTATAGTCAATTAAAGAAGGGGCAAATATGAAATATATATATAAAAAAAAGGATAAGAGGTGCAAAAAAGCAATTACAAAAGTAAAGCAAGAGAATCTCACCTTTTTGTAGAGATTCTAAAATGAATGATTCTAGCCATTTGAGATTCTAAAGTACCAATCAAATGCATGCATTCTGGATAAGTTTATGTCAAAAGAACGATAAATTGTAAAGAATACACACATTCACAGAATCACTCATTTAGACTCCTAACTTCCAAACGACCCCGTACCTGAGATCCTCAAAACCAGTTTGGTAACTGGCGGTCTTTTTGGTGGGTTGTGATTTGAATGAGGCATGGAAAGGGTCGAAGGTATAGTTTGTGTTAATTAGTTGTTAACCTTTAATGAGACATAACTGTTTATATCTTGCTTTGCATACACCTCTTTGGTGGTAATATACATCGGATACCACTTAAGTTTCAGAATTGGGACAGACATACCAGTTAAGTTTAAATAGAGCGTCAGGTACCACTGAACTCTATTATTTGTGCACCCGGTACCACTTAAGTTTAATGTTAAGTGCATTCTGTTAAAGTTAACAGAATATTCTTCAAATATTCTGTTTTCTAAATTTCTTCATTGGTCCTTCTACTTTTTTTAATTGTAAAAAATCATTTTGACTTATGAAAAACATCAATTTTTATTATTTAATTGGTATCCTCTTTTGAAAACTTGATACCAAATTAATTTTTGAATAGAAAATTTAAAATCAATTATCATTATAAGTATTTTCAGTTATCATTATGTTTACTAATAATTGAATTATCCTCTTTTTTTTGAAGATTTTGATACCAAACTAATTTTTGAATATGAAATGTAGAATCAATTATCATCATAAGTACTTTAAATTACCATGATGTGTTATAATAATTGAATAATTTGCTTAAGTAAATATATCCTGTGAATTCTATATCGATATAAATAATATAAGGATGTTATATTTAATTCTCGTACATCATCTGGATGTTATATAATTTTTTTGGTTACTTTCATAAATTTTTTTCAATTACTGTAATATGTTTAATTTTTTTATGACTATGTTCCATTTATCCTTCTTTGGTCTTGATGTATTGATGATCAATTAGATTCTATTTTAACTATTTTAATGGTACTTCTTATCAGATTAGTTATTTAAATAGATCTTCTAATATTGATTTTAAATATTTATTAGTATATTCTATATATTTATTAATATATTCTATATCTTTGTTCTTCTTCTTGATATTTTTTTATATTTTTACTAACTTATCTATTTTATTGAAAATTTTGATTAGTCATTTAAATAATATTATGTTTAGAAGGTTTTTTTAATTTCTATATTAGATGAAAACTTGTTTAAATATAGTTTTAGATGTTTTTAAAAGTTTGGATTTTGCTACGGTGACATGCATGTTACAGTGACATGGACTTTTCGGTCGACCTAATCCAAAAGGCGGTCGACCGAATTGACTAATTCATGTATGTGAGGTTCCGAGACGCGGTCGACCTCTTACATAATATGGTCGACCTCTTTGGTGGTCTAACAGAATGAAAGGTCAACCCAAATACCTTATAGGCCGACCCTTGTGCACCAAACAGGTCGACCGCATTATAAAGAGGTCGACCGCCTTCACACCGTATCCGTATTGGATATGGATTCCAACACCAGAAAGGTTCCACAATTGGACAAGGAAACGAATTGGGTCGACCCATTCACATCCTAAATCTCTATAAATACGAATTTAAGTCCCCTTCAACGCCACCAAGTATGAATTAGGTTTTTTCTGACTTAGAGCCTTTGTGAAGAAGATCGTTCGCGGTTGCTATTGTACATGTTGGAAGTGGTCGACCAGGTCTAAGGTGAGGTCGACCTAATGTAGCATTCACCGTCAACTTTTCTAATGCGTGATTTCCACCGTCTAATTTGATATATTGTTGCGTGCAGAATACTATTCGGTCGACCTTGACATCAACCAGGTCGACCTGACGAGATCGTATTTGAATTTAGGGCACAACACTTGGACTTCTGCACTTGCGAGGTAACGAAGATCAACCCAATTGGTCGACCTAATGTGTTTCAAGGTCGACCGTTTCTATTTGTTTTGGTTATTCAACCTGAATGTCGACTTTGGCTTTGTTTGTATGACTATGTTGTGCTTGAAAAGATCGACCGCGCCAGATATCTGGTCGTCCTATCCTTTTTTCGGTTTAATTTTGAACTTACTTTTTGTTGTTAATTGTTATTTTCCTGCTGGATAGGTCGACCTAGGAAGAACAGAGGTCGACCTTAATGGTTGTGGTAGTCACTATTTGTCTTCCAGGTCGACCTAATAATTTGTCAGGTCGACCACGTCTTTGTTTTTTGGTCAATTGTAGAAATTTATAGTTGAATTATGATTTGAATTTTTCTTTAAATTGTTTAAACGATGACGCATGATGAGAGACTGCATCAAGATTTGGGTGAAATCATGAGATTGTTGAAAGCCACACAAGAGAAGCTGGTGGTGTGTCAAACACAAGTCAATGACTTTCAGAAGTCCAAGAGTGATAGAGAGGAGAAATTGTTAGTTCCACTGACAGATATGACTGGGATGATGCATGACGGGTTTGAGAGGCTAGAAGGTGCTATCAAAGATATATGTGCAGAACGAATGGAGAATGGCGGAAGAGATGGTACAGGAAAGAAATTTGACTTTGGTAAAGAGGAGGAAGACCATGATGACTCTGAAAATTGCTACCAGAGCATAGAAGATTTATTGAAAGAGCACAATTTAAAGGTATCCAAGTATATTCATATGTGATTGAAGATATTAGTATTACTATCATTAGTGCTAATTTGTTTTATTTATATGTTTGACAGAGTGAAACAACGAATGGCAGCAAGGGTTCCTCTCCTAAGTACAAGAGACCTCGATATGAAAGTGACTCCTACACCACTCCACAGAAGGATCATTTTGTAAGAAAAGGATTATTTAGTGCTGATAGCGATGAAGATGAATCTAAGAGTCATTTCGAAAAGCACGGGGTAAGTTTACGTTACATATTCATATATAATGTGTATTTGTATTCATATGTTACTTTAATTTTAACTATGATTTGTAGGTCATGAAAGTGGAGGGTCTAAAAGGATTCACCAAAAATCTTCAAAATCCAGTTGAAGACTTGTATTATGTTGTTACTAAAGAGAAGGTTGGGGACACGAATTGGGACAAGTAAAACGTTTTTTAGTACGTGTGGTCGACTGTTTAGGTCATGAGGTCGACCGTTTGTCCAATAAGGTCGACCGTGACTGTGAACAGGTCGACCTGTACGTTGCAAATCACAATTGACATTTATGTTATTTTGATTTTTGTAGTTTGACCGTTGTTGACTTTTTTTTTCTGAAAACGTGCAACGAAATTATATGAGTTCGGTCATTAACGAGAATAGCTGGGTTTGCTCATCCGTAAGTACTATACTACTACGAGTTTCGTATGAATTGTGCACTATTTATGTTACGATTTACGATGATTTTGTGTTTGATTGTTGAATGGTAGGTAGTGGATTTGTGTGCAAGGGCACTAACAATGTCTGAAAAACATGATGTGAAAGAGCCAAATGTGTGGTATTTGCCAAATATGTTTTCGGTAAGAGCCGTAATGTCAAATTATTTGTCATAACCTAGTTATTTATATTGTACCATGTCAATTCATCTCAATTAAACCATGGTGCAGAAAATGGTACGCGCTAACATGAAGACCAGACAAATTCGTAACAAGTTGATGAATGATGGCGTGGTGTTTATGCCGAATGTTAATGCATGCCAAAAGGTTAGTCAATGTCCCTATATCATTAAATTTCGAAAGTGCATTTGTTTGTATTCGCTTTTTATAACATATAGTGAGTGTTTCATTGCTAGATATTTATGCCAGTTCTTGACGATGAAGCACGTCATTGGTTTCTGTATCTCGTCAATGTCCAGCAAAAAACTGCATTTTTGCTTGACAATCTACCTTCAACTAGTGAGGCGAATCGTAGGCGTAAATCAGCACTATGCAAGAAATTGGTAAGTGTTTCCTATATTTTTCTGACTACTAAGCGTCACGTATTATGCTAGAAGCTTAAAATATTCGTTATTTGTGTGTAGTTGTCCAATTTGGATGATATTTTCAATCCGGAGCGCATGAGCGATGTAGCAGTACCAAATTTTGGAGATTTCAATTTTGAAGAGCAACGGGTTCAAGGGCAAAGGAATAGTACCAAGTGTGGTGTGCACGTCATGCAGTGGATGCGCTATGGATCCAAGGATCTGGATAGAGTGGTGAGTATATCGTCAAACAAATAACTTGTTTAATTTATACTTTTTTAGTTGTAACGAAGTCTTACATGACATAATGCAGATAGGAGAAGAACACAAATTACCGGCTCGAAAGGAGATAGTATGGCATCTGGCTACACATTTTGAAAACCGTGCACGAGAAAATCTTTTCAAGCATGTAGTAGATGAATGCATGGAACGAGGCAAAGAGAGACAGAGTTCAAACAAAAAAGCAAAGAAATGAAGTCGTTAAGTTACAATGTTGCATTATTTGGACAATACATTGAATTTGTATTTGCGAGATTGTTTCATTTTGGATTTTGAATGTTAATTGTTTATTAGATTTGTTATAAAATTATGGATGTGAATGAATTTACGATTTCAATCGTCTAGAACAAGTGGTCGGCCACATACTCAAAGCGGGCAAACCCGTAGGCAGAGCACAGGTCGACCTCGTGACGCTTAAGGTCGACCTATGATACCGTAGCAAAGTCATAAACCATGTGGAATAAGGATGGAACCTCGTCTGTTTGGCCTTAATAAAATACGGTCGATCATTCGTGTCAAGAGGTCGACCTGTTTCACATTTATAAACAACGGTCGACCATTTGTGTAAAGAGGTCGACCTGTTTCACATTTACCCAAGATGGTCGACCATTTGTGCAACGCGGTCGACCGTAATGATTCTTGTCCTTGTACAATTAGGATTTTGTGTACTTGTCCTTGTCGAATTATGATTTTATATATCTTTCACCAATTGGATAAGGAATTCATCTACATTCTCTATAAATAGATGGAAATCTTAAGACTTTCTTCGTACTTCGATTTATGCAATTTGTTGGAGTGAATTTGTAATCTCATCGCTCTTATTGTGATCGTGTGTTGGTGACGGTTTATTTTTATTCCGGTAGACCATAACAATAAGTGGTCGGCCGTGTTGCTAAGGTATGTCTCGTATATGCTTGTTAATGGTTGTATGTGGTTAAATTTTTCCCTAATTAGGTCGACCACCTCCACCATCCGGTCGACCACCTCCACCATCCGGTCGACCTTATTTGTG